AAAAGTTAAAAATAAAAAAATATAAAAATTATAAGAAAAATAAAAAAGTAAAAGATAATAAGATAAATAAAAATGCAAAAAAGTTAAAAAGATAAATTTAAAAAAGTAATAAAAAAATTATAAAGACATTTTTAAAAAAAATTAAAACCAACCCTGCCGCCCCCACCATCTAGTTGCCATTCTTCATTGGGAAAAGGGGGTTTGGCAGGGAGGGGGGCGCATTGAGGAACCTGGCCTCGGGGCAGCAGAGATAGTAAATCCGGCCCTATCTATATATACCCGGGTACTAGACTGGTATTTGTCAAGCGGGAATACTCACAAATAAAATAAAAAAAAATTCAGTCAATATTTTCCAATATCTCTTTGAATTGAGCACATTTCAGTTGGATTGGTACCTGTGCCGATTGTTTTCCTCATTCCTAGTGCTGTTATCAACAAGCTTATATCCAAAGAATCATGCTGCTTAAGTCCTACACATGCTGGCATTGCTTGGTGTTTGCCTGTAGTATGTGTTTGGAGAACTACTGATCAATGAAGGAATGTTGGGGGTAGTGTGAAGAGGAAAACTGACGTCTTTTAACATATATTCCAGGCCTTCTGAACCTGATTATGGCATCTGTATCCAGATAACACCAAACCTTGGCATTCCAGAAGGACAGATAGATATACTGTACATATGGAATTCACATTGAGGTTGAACTCCGAGTACAAAAACTGTAATTCAAATATATAGTTATTGAAGGATATAAATTCCACTTTGTGTGCATTAAATGCCTTTGCAAATCCAGTTGTTACCTTTAAAATGTAGTGGTGATAACATCAATGTGCTGGCCATAGCCTGTGCTGATAGCAGAGCTGTGGGAGGGACCCACTACAGGCTACCTGCAGATCCCACCCACTACAGGCTACCTGCAGAAAACTACAGTAGGGGGCGGAGACAAGACCAGTCACCCTGCACAAGATGGGAGAGCAGCTGTGACCGGGCTTTATTACTGCACAGAGTTAACGTTTCATACTGGACTACTTCACAGATCTGGAAGAAATACATGGCAAGCACACCAAGATTCAAGTAAGAATACACATGACTCTTGTATTTAGACAATCTCAGCTTCAAAGAATTGCAAATATTGCACTTTTGTTTACAGAGAATAAGATGAATCGTTCATACAAGACATATATCTTCTAACTAAATAAAAAGCAGTTGCAACCAATGGAAATACACCGCGAGTCATACTTATATACTGTAGGAATTGTCTGAGACACAAAAATCTTTCTATTTGTTTAATGCATGGTTATTATTTTGCTTTTTACAGCAAATCTCCCACAGTATGGGGAATTCCCCTCTTAGACAGGTGTCCCCAATGGACAATTTCCTCTTACCTTTTATTCTAGGGAGAACTCTAAAATTTAGGATTTCCACAAATTTCCTTTCTCAGTGACAATGGTCACTAGTACAAATAGAGGGGCGACTCTCCCGAATAGAGACACAGGCACCAACAAAACCTTTCCCCACTCTATCCAAAACTGAAAAAATGTTTCCCTAGAAATACGCTTTCATATCCATTTCCCTGCCTCAAAATACCATCCCACGGTCTGGAGCACACCAGGCTCTTCCCACAATGCAATGACAAGACATCAGCATCCTGGGCCTAGGGTTGTGAAGAGGGTTCCTTCCTGTGCTTTAGTCTGAGAGCACTCTAGGGTCCAGCAAGCAGAAAATACCTATTGGTATCTTTTGGTGCTTGCTAACCAAGTTTTGAATTTTAGTAGTTTTTATGATGGCAGAGTTGCTTTTAATGATCCAGCTTGCGATTTCCTTTTGTTTGTTTATTTGATTCTCATCCATTATTGCATCTTTATTAGGTCTTGAAAGTTTATCTTGTATCTATAAGGTATAAAATATTACACTATAAATTATTCACCCTGCCCATTTTTATTCTAGGATGAACATTATTGTTGGTGCTCCAAGGTTGAACTCATCAGAGGCCAATGTCAGTAACACTGGAGGAGTGTTCCTGTGCCCATGGGGGGCAGTGGTCACAAACTGCTCCATTATACCCTTTGATCAAACAGGTGACTGCTATAGACAAGCTGATATTTCAGTCATGCGTGTTTTACTGCCGAGTTAAGTCACATGTTAGCTATTCTATCTCTTCAACACACTCCTGTGTTGATATCGCCACACCATAATTTTCCATCTACACCTGCCTTCTGTAGCCATTACAAAGTCAATTGATGGTGTCATGCATCCCTGATGACCTCGGTCTTGATTGATGGCTGGTCTTGTTAAAATTAGGGAATTGGCCTTGTAATAGTCATGAAAGAGCAAAAACTGGAGATCCCAGAACATATTGTTCAGTCTCTCATGTGTTCATTCTTCTTTTTAATTCCATATGTCTAAACAGCACGTCCTGATATTAAAATGGTAATTTCCACATTTTAAATACTAATGTGCATGCCGCCATTTTGTTGGCTGCTGATCATTTATTTGTTACAGCATTTATATAGCGAAGACAATTAACACAGTGCTTTACATATTGTTCATTTACATCAGTCCCTACCCTTGGGAAGTTTATAATGTAAGGTCCCCACCTCACATGCACATACTAGAGCCAATTTACACAGGAGCCAGGTAACCATGTCTGTGGAGTGTTGGAGGAAACCATGGTACCCAGAGAAAACCCATAAAAGCACAGTGAGGACCTGCAAATGCCATGCAGGTAGTGTCCTGGTTGTCAACTGAGGACCCCAGTCATCAATTTAATGATAATATTTTTATAACACAGGTAGATTTCACATTGCTGTGCTAAACTCACCAATCTGGTGAGGGGCCTGAAAATAACAGTTTACAGTATGCTTAGCTGGACCACTCAATGCCAACTTTAAAAGCAGGCAAAATACTGGCAGTATAAAAAGGGATGGAAAGGCACATGATGCTAGTATAGTATTACTCCTGTATGCACTGGTGTGGTGGTAAAGGCACATCTAGGATATAGGGGACAACTTTAGGCACCACACTGTGAACAAGACATAGGAAAAGGGCTTAGAGGCAGGCAACTACATAAATAAAAGGGTGGGAGGTTTAACTCTAATGTTTAGAAATCTAGATTCTGGCTACTGTGGATTAGCAGGTTTCCCACAAGCATCTCCTTGGCTGCTTATCCCACTTTTCTTTTTATTCAGTTTTCATATATAAAACCACAGGTCACAAGACTGAAATAGTGGTCTATGAAATACAAGGTGTCATAAATGTAGTGTCCTTCTTGTATAGGTGACCAGAGAGAAACTAAAGATGGGATAATGAGCATCGATAAGTCTGATCAATGGTTTGGAGCAACCGTTAGAGTCTGGAACACCAGTATTGTGGTACGTGTTATTTTAAGTCTATTAAGCTTCCCAAAGTCTTTAGATGCTTGGTGGGCATTTCGGTAAACAGCTGTTTTACAAAATGTTGTTCTATTAACGTGCTGGGAACACCCCGTTCTACATACTGTAATAATGTGTGTAGAGTAAGGAGCATCCGAACAGCCCACATGCCGGTTTATTCTCATGAGAAAGAAAAGCAATGGGCTAAACAAAAGCCACTGTGGCTGACCATTAGTTCCCCCCAAGCATTGGTAGGAGTATTACTCTAATCAGCCAGTTATTTCAAATGTCTTATATTGATTTACAGAGCATTTAGATCTTTAACATACAGTAAGCCCTCAAGAGCAATTTGGTCCAAAAACAATCATTCTACCAACTAAAGGACACAATACAAACACAGAGAGAACATAATGTATATTGTCGACACTTTACATCTTTTTGTTACCAATTCCTATGTCTGATTCTCTGTGACACTACTCATGTCCTAACCTTTGGTATCACCCCCAGGTCTGTGCTCCATTCCAGCGTTACAATTTTGTAAACCGCAATGATATCTCCGATGAATCAGGGAAGACACCTACTGGGGCCTGTTACTTCACTGGTGACCTTAAGAACTTCCATGAATTTGCTCCTTGCCGTGACACCAAGACCGAAAGATATCACTTCTTTGAGGACTCAAGTCTGTATGCCACTCCATGTGTAGTCATTAGATTACTTATTCCAGTAATCACTAGATTACTAGACCTAACAGAGCAGGGCAAGTGGTACACTCCTTGAAATGGCAATAGATCAAGAGTAGTCCAGGTGGTGGTGCAATGGACACTCTAACTGATGTCATTAGATTTCTAGACCTCCCAGAACAGGGTCAGTGGTACATTTCATGTGATGTCATTGGATCATAAGTAGTCCAGGAGGCAGGGCAATAGAAAAATCCATGTGATGTCAATAGATTACAAGTAGTCCAGCAGTCTTGGCAATGGTAGACTCAAAGTGATGTCATTCGATGACAATTTTTCCAGATAGTGGGGCAATGGTACAGTCCATGTAATGTCCTTAGATCACTAGTAGCCTAGGAAGTAGGGGAATGGTACACTCCATGTAATATCATCAGATCATTAGTAGTACAGGAGGCAGGGTGGCGCAATGATACACTCCAAGTAATGTCATTAGATTACTATAACACCCAGAACAGGGTCAGCGGTACACTTCATGTGATGTCATTGAATTAATAATAGTCCCGAAGGCAGGGCAATACAATCCAAGTGATGTCAATAAATTACTAGCAGTCCAGTTGGGGTGATGGTACACTCCATGTGATGCCATTAGATCACTGGTAGTCCAGGAGGCAGGGCAATGGTATATACCGTATATACTCGAGTATAAGCCGAGTTTTTCAGCCCATTTTTTGTGCTGAAAAATGCCCCCCTCGGCTTATACTCGAGTATATACGGTATATTCCATGTGATGTAATTAGATCACTAATAGACTAGGAGGCAGAGTAATGGTACACGCCATGTGATGCCATTAGATCACTAGTAGTTTAGGAGGCAGGGCAATGGTACACTCCATGTGATGTCATTAGATCACTAGTAGTTTAGGAGGCAGGGCAATGGTACACTCCATGTGATGTCATTAGATCACTAGTAGTTTAGGAGGCAGGGCAATGGTACACTCCATGTGATGTCATTAGATCACTAGTAGTTTAGGAGGCAGGGCAATGGTACACTCCATGTGATGTCATTAGATCACTAGTAGTTTAGGAGGCAGGGCAATGGTACACTCCATGTGATGTCATTAGATCACTAGTAGTTTAGGAGGCAGGGCAATGGTACACTCCATGTGATGTCATTAGATCACTAGTAGTTTAGGAGGCAGGGCAATGGTACACTCCATGTGATGTCATTAGATCACTAGTAGTTTAGGAGGCAGGGCAATGGTACACTCCATGTGATGTCATTAGATCACTAGTAGTTTAGGAGGCAGGGCAATGGTACACTCCATGTGATGTCATTAGATCACTAGTAGTTTAGGAGGCAGGGCAATGGTACACTCCATGTGATGTCATTAGATCACTAGTAGTTTAGGAGGCAGGGCAATGGTACACTCCATGTGATGTCATTAGATCACTAGTAGTTTAGGAGGCAGGGCAATGGTACACTCCATGTGATGTCATTAGATCACTAGTAGTTTAGGAGGCAGGGCAATGGTACACTCCATGTGATGTCATTAGATCACTAGTAGTTTAGGAGGCAGGGCAATGGTATATACCGTATATTCTCGAGTATAAGCCGAGTTTTTCAGCCCATTTTTTGTGCTGAAAAATGCCCCCCTCGGCTTATACTCGAGTCAATATTTTTTCCCAGTTTTTTGTGGTAAAATTAGGTACCTCGGCTTATATTCGGGTCGGCTTATACTCGAGTATATACGGTATATTCCATGTGATGTAATTAGATCACTAATAGACTAGGAGGCAGAGTAATGGTACACGCCATGTGATGCCATTAGATCACTAGTAGTTTAGGAGGCAGGGCAATGGTACACTCCATGTGATGCCATTAGATCACTAGTAAACTAGGAGGCAGAGCAATGGTACATGCCATGTGATGCCATTAGATCACTAGTAGTCCAGGAGGCAGGGCAATGGTACACTCCATGTGATGTCATTGGATCACTAGTAGTCCAGGAGGCAGGGCAATGGTACACTCCATGTGATGTCATTGGATCACTAGTAGTCCAGGAGGCAGGGCAATGGTACACTCCATGTGATGTCATTGGATCACTAGTAGTCCAGGAGGCAGGGCAATGGTACACTCCATGTGATGTCATTAGATCACTAGTAGTCCAGGAGGTCGGACAATGGTACACTCCATGTGATGTCATTAAATCACTAGTAGTCCAGCCAGCAGGAAAATGGTACACACTTTAAAAAAATGCTAAAAAGGCCATAAAAAATACATTTCAATCTGTAAGGCACAATAACCCAGCAAACTATCACAAATGTTCTTCCTTAGGTTTGAGAAAACTTATAAATAAATCAAATCTAATTGCTACATACAGTACATGTGTATATATCACCAAATTCCTAATGTACACTACAACATCATCACAGAAACCCCAATGATATAATCACTGTGCTAATATGACTCGTATTGTTCTGCAAACTGAGAGCAATGGAGCTCCATTGTCCCCAAAACCTCCTTGTAGAAGCATTATGGGAATGTTATTACTGAGTGAGTAACCAGGACCTAAAATAAAACATGTGTAATTATTTGTACTGCTCTTTTTCAGCACAAGATAACCGGTTCTGTGAGCTGGGATTTAGCACAGATATAAGCAAGGTGATTATATTGCAATGAACGTGTATGCAGATAACATCAAAGGTCTCTTCCCTAAATTGTTCTGGGTCATGGACATGGAGTATAAAAAGCAGAGGGTCAGCATAACAGACAGTCAACCAGCATTCAATCAAGGCTCTCAAGTTACTGTATGTCTGACCTCACTGAGGGATGGTCAAGGTAAATCGAAGGGTAGGAGCACCAAATGTATGCAATCTGGCGACAAAGCTCTTTATAGATTTGTCCTTTTGTTTGCTCTAAAATCCATAAAACATACCAATGCGTGTTGAGGGCAGTGATCGGTTGGCATCCTCTATGTCCTATGATACCTACAGCAGGACTGCACTGATAATTGCTTTTTTTAAGCTGTTCACACAGACATATAAAAACAAAATAAAACAAACAGCGCCTTCTCCTGGTGCATTAACGTTTATTATATGGAGTATAAAAAAGTAATAAAAAAACGACTCACATAGAAGTGTAGTGAAATGAGCAATATAAATACAAAGCGGGTCCTAGACGCGTTTTTGGGGCAGTATTCCCCCTTCCTCAGAGCTAGTATAATACTGAAAGGCCCAAACATATCATCATCATCATATACATCAGTATTATGTGAGTAGCTCTGATTAAGGGGGAATACTCCCCAAAACGCATCAGCTAGGTGGTCTTCTCTGTGACCCGCTTTGTATTTATATTCCTCATTTTGCTACACTTCTATGCGAGTAGTTTTTAAAAAACTTTGTTATACTCCATTTAAATAAATGTTAATGCACCAGGTGAAGGAGCTCTTTGTTTTATTTTGTTTTACATGTTCTGTGAGGATACTTCCCAGTGGGCTTGAGGATGGCAGCCTTCTCCCTCAACGGTTGACGTTGAAGAATTTCTTATGCTAAGCGCTGTGGTGTAAACAATTTCTTTCTCTTTCTGGACATTTAGACATATAAAAACAATCAATTCTCACCAAGTAGTTCTTGTCAGGTTTCCAGATTTAGAAGCCCTGAAAAGGTCGGCTTGTTAAGACCCCCAAAACGCCAAAAAATTAAAGTGGACCCAAAGTCATGATTGTTTCCCTTCAATATAAGGATCAGATTCCCTAAATATCCATATTTCTTCTGCAGAAGGGTGTACTGCTAGCAGGAGCTCCCGGAGGCTACTATTTCGAAGGTAGGTATACTGCAAGAGAATACATCTGATGAGGTTTGACTGGTCTTGTTGGTCTTTCTGTTGGTAGTCTAGAGGAGACGGAAAACAGCCAGACCTTTGTGTATGTAATACATATTTAATGTTTCTTTTTTCTTTGATTTCCCCAGTTATGTAGACTACATTGGAAATCTCCATAGTTATGTTTTTTGTTTAGCTGTTTGAATTACGTACCTACTAAAAGTCAAGTGGAAATCTAAGAAAACAGCTATACACGCAGCTGAAAAACATATAATATCTGCGCTAATTTACGTGCCTAAGGATTTGCAATTCTGTGCTGTTGGTCCATAACTCTCCAATCAGCCAAACAAAACAAAAAATAAAAAAATTATATATTTGAAGACAATTTTGCATGTTGTGGCAAATCATGAC